TATGAATGGCCGGATCACCTGTCAATCGAATGGCTGTGAAGGGTCAATTGCAATAGCACTCTCATTTCACTTCTATCCCAGCTAGCAATATTCATGTGGCTCAAATCCGGCCCACATACCGCATGGAATGATGACACTTGGACGCTAACTGTGAGCTAACTGTGCCAAATATTTGCCAAAAGTGGCCCACATTTGTTTTAGAATAACTGGGCAACATTTGCCACATCTTCTTTGGGCCACTATAGGCTCAAATCCACATTAGCCCGAGCTTACTATGCTAAATATTTGCCAAAGTGGCCCAAATATGTTTTAAGATAACTTGGCCACATTTGCCATATCTGCTCTGGGCCACTATAGGCAGACAACTGCATTAGCCAGAGTTTACTGTTCCGAATATTTGCCAAAAGTGGCCCACATATTTTTTTTTAAATAATTGGGCCAGTTATTACCCTTAAATGACTAGGCCACTATTTTGCCAACTGTGTCCCACATTTGTCCTCCATCATTTGGGCCAAATTTGTCATTTTCCACATGGGCCGCATTAGGCTAACGAATTAGGATTACAAAGCCTCTTTTAAAGTCCCTATGGAAAAAAAAATAACTAAAAGAAACAGCACTATTGAAAAACTAGACAGCCATTAAATAGACCCTGTAAATGTAATGAGACTTGCATTAGCAAACCTTTCAAATAATAATTAAGCCCTGGGTTTCAAGGAAATTGATCTTTATGCTATCCAATCTTGAACAATATGACCATGTTTAACACAATATATATGCTGTTGTCTTACAAGCGCTCCATTATACTGATTAGGAAGTCAAATCACAGCTATCCGCACTCCTCTTCTCACTGCTGTATCTCTGTCAGTTTGATAGCTTAATGCTTGGATTCTTTCAGTTAGCCACTTTAGATCTCCCAGTCCAATATTTTCACTTTCCATTGACTCTCTTTCTCTGTTTCTGACTCAGTTTTACTGTTTCCCTCCAGTCTAAACAAACATGTAAAAAAAGATACAATCTTTATTTATTTAGATACAGACATGCCAGCATTAAATCCAGTCATCGTCTGCTAATGGCCTACGTAACTCCACATATTTCTTTTCGCATCTAATCTTCATCTCGAGTCGACGTCAGCTGTATTTACTTGTGCTGGCCGTCGTCCTGGGTGGCAGTGGTGTGAATTACAGCACCTCATGACAGATGAAATATACACGCTGTGTTTCATCGTTACACTAATTTTTATGTGTTGTGTGGTCTGCTAATTGAGCCGTTTAATTGCTTAAGTTAATCCTGCCAGGGTTTATTGCGTACAGTGAATGGCGCTGTTATAGTAAAGCCAATTTCAAAGTTTGCGTAAGATCCGATTGGTGTGTTTTCCCATTCACTTGGAGATCGAGTCACAGTTGATAGCGTTTTTGGCCTGTTTTTTTTTTTTTTCTGCTGCATATTTATAAATATCTCTGAGAGGATCCAGATGACCGTCAGGGTGGGCTCGGCAAGTTTTGCTCATTTCGTGTTGTCAGTACTGTAACAGTTGTGCCGTGCTCACTCCATCCAAGAGCTCCGTGACTTCAAGGGTCCTCTGTTGAGTTAATGTCTTGAACGCTTACGCAGTCTGTCATGTTATAGTGAAGTGAATTAAAGTCAGCAGCATTAAAGCCGTAAAGTGTTTAGCTCATGATGGATTGTGTCCATGCACTGCATTATTCTAATGAAGAGAGCCTGTGCATCTGTTTGTGTTCATGGTGCGCATATATTGCAGTGATGAAAGAAGTGTGAAAGCTTACTTTATAGCAGGGTGTGGTTAGATTTGTCTTTTCCTGGACGTTGCCCTCAAAGGTAAATATGTAATGTAAAGGCTGCCTTTGAGGAAATTCAGAAGACTTTGATGGCCATTCAAAAGTGAATCCGTAGCACTTTTCCATTGTACATTTGGCTTAAGTGAGTTAAATTATCATATGCTAGAGCAAAGGTGCCATTTTGGTATCTTAAAGAGCACCTATTTTGCATTAAATAGGTCATATTTTGGTTTTAGGGGTCTCCAACAACATGCTGATATGCGTGCAAGGTCAAAAAACTGATTGGTTTTGCAGCATGTTTTAATTTTCACACACAACCATCTCTAGGGTTTACAGAGAATGGTCCAAAAAAGAGAAAATATCCAGTGAGCGGCAGTTCTGTGGGCGCAAATGCTTTATAGATGCCAGAGGTCAGAGGAGAATGGCCAGACTGGTTCAAGCAGATAAAAAGGCAACAGTAATTCAAATTATCACTCGTTACAACCAAGGTATGCAGAAGAGCATCTCTGAACACACAACATGTCTAACCTTGAGGCGGATGGGCTACAGCAGCAGAAGACCACACCGGATGCCACTCCTGTCAGCTAAGAACAGGAAACTGAAGCTACAATTCGCACAGGCTCACAACAATTGTACAATAGAAGATTGTCACCGGATCTCAATCCAATAGAGCACTTTTGGGATGTGGTGGAAAAGGAGATTCACATCATCTGCTGTTATCTTAATGTGGACCAAAATCTCTGAGGAATGTTTTCAGTATCTTTTTGAATCTATGCCATGTAGGATTAAGGCAGTTTTGAAGGTAACCGGCTAACCGGGTTCCAGTAAAGGCTGATTTATACTTCTGCGTCAAACACCGGCGTAGGCTACGGCGCTGACGCATAGCCCTTCGCCGTGGCCATCGCCGTCACTGACGTGCACCTCTCAAAAATTGTAACTACACGTCGCAACAACGCGTAGCGCAAGCTCTGTGATTGGTCGGCTTGGTAGCGCTGACGAGTCTGGGCGGGACCGAAAGCCGCGCGAATGGCGCGAGCGATTGTTTACAAGTGTGGAGTCCCGTGAAGGAGCTCCGGATGGAAAGTTTTGTTCTGTGTTTACCTCATGGTTAAAGTTGTTGCACGTCCGCCGGTTCCTGCCTCAAAATGAGCGAGTTTGAGTCACTTGTACATCCAGGAAGTGTTCAGAATAGCAAAACAGAAGTGAAGAAACTCGACACAGAGGAACATTTACACCTCACTGCCCACTAGCGTTTCGGAAGTGTTAATGCAGACCAACAGAGACAGTGCGCAGAAGTATAAATGCACAGCTGCGCGCGTTGCCTGCGCCGTGAGTTGCGCCGGTCACTTGACGCAGAAGTCTAAACCAGGCTTAAGGTGTACCTAATAAAGTGGCCGATTAGTGTATTTGCATCACAGACTTATTGGAAATATGTGCTTTAGATTAGATTTTTTGGGGGTAATTGCAGGGACATATCATCTATAAACAAAAGATTATTTTACTCGAATTTACTTCTCTGCCATTGTCAGTTTGCTTGGTAGCTAACCATGCTACCAGCAGTGTTGTGCTTGTGATGCAGAGCACTCGGATTGAGTTCGGCGAAGTACACAATATTAAATCATGATAAAACTATGTGCTCACAGTGCATTTGTCTCTTACGTTTGCTTTTGAAAACACTATTGGTTGGGATTAGGTCAGTGGTTCACTGTACAAAAAAGCTCCGCCATCTTATGGACATGTACAAGAATGACGTGTGTCTAAAACATACAACCAAATGTTCCCTGAGTAACATTAAAAAAAATAAAAAATGTAGACAGGGCCTTCTAGTACATATCTCATCCAAAATGTACAAAATAAAAGTTACCCAGAGTAACACATTTTGCAAAAAAAGTAGGCTGACACATTTTTTTGTCAATGAGCCTAAACTGTCTATGTAATATGTTTGTACAAGCTCTGCAGTTCATTAGCATCATGTGGGCAGATGAGCTCATTAAAATGTCATGATATTTAAGTATATTTGAGTTTATAGACTATATACTGTAGATCTGCTTATGAGACAACTAAACACTGGCGCTATAGGTAAATTGAATGAACTAAATTGACCGTAGTGTATGAGTGTGTGTCTGAATTAGTGCATATGGGTGTTTCCCAGTACTGGGTTGCGGCTGGAAAAACATATGCTGTGTAAATCAAAATGAATGAATAAATGAACGAATGAATGAATGAATGAATAAATGAATGAATGAATGAATGAACGAATGAATGAACGAATGAATGAACGAATGAATGAATAATCTTTGGTTTAATTTGTCAGAATGAATGAAGAACAAAATTTTCACGTCCCTATGATTTTCTTGGGAAACTAAAAGAGTTTTGCTTAAAAATTGTTCTACAGGTTTTTGTTTGTGAATGTTTTGTGTCCTTACATGATGTTAACACACTGGCAATTAAAAAAAAAAATAAATAAATAAATAGATAAATAAATAAATAAATATGTAAATAAATAAATAAATAAATAAATAAATAAATAAATAAATATTTCACCAAAAATTTACTCAAGTGGTTTAAAATATTTATATTCCATCTCCTTTTCTTTCTTTCTTTTTTTTTTTTTGGAGCATAAAAGAAGATATGTTTATATTGTAAACCATGTTAAAATTGAAATCCACAGTATTAAAAATCAGTAAGTAATTGGCTACCAGTTGGCAACATTATTCAACATATCTTATTTTGTCATCAACGAAAGAAAGAAACTTAGACAGGTTTGGAACAAGTGAAGGCTTGAGTAGCCTAAATAATTTTACATTTGTCATTTTAGGCATTTTTGGGGGTGAACAACCCCTTTAATGATTGTTTGTTTTTATTCTTTCACCTTTTTTATTTTGCAGTGTGATTTTGTTTTGAATGGAATCAAAATTTCCACCAAAAATTAGCATTTTTAGTCAACCTCCTTTGTTTATGATGAGTTATTTCCCTATAAAGACAAGGAAAATAATTTATTATTTGCCATAAAAATGTTAAAAACTACTGAACCTACAAACAAGAGTTAAAAATGCTCAGTTTAGAAGTAAATTTTAGGCTGCATTTAGAGTTTTTTACATCTCTGTAAATGTTCTTTAATGCCAAAAGCTCCTTCGTCTTAGTCTGATGTTTGTAATTCTTCTTGATAGATGTCTAATTGTGTTTATCTCTGTTTGTCTACAGTTCCAAAGAATGATCAGCGAGTCGTGGACAAGGCCAAAATGGCTGTGAAATCATCTGGACTTCAGCGCTCTAGCTCAGATGCCGGGAAAGACCGCGGGGAGCACCGAAAACCTCCATCCGGGCTTGTCCGTCCCTCCGCTGGCACCACAAACTCCTTCGGCTACAAGAAAAACACTCCAACTACCGGCACTGCCACTGTTCTTACAACCGGACCAAATACTGTCCCAGTAGACTCTACAATTGTAAACAAAACTCCCAAAACCTCTGGTATCCCAGTGAAACCTTCTGCTGGTGGAGGACGAAAGACCAGCCTAGACGTTTCAAACTGCGATCAAGGTTTCATGGCTCCAAATGCACGAAACAACATCCAGTACCGCAGCCTTCCCAGACCTGCTAAAACCAGCACTTTGAGTCTGACAGGAGGCCGTCCGGGTGCTCGTCCTGTCAGCAGCAACATTGACATTGGTCTTCAGGGCCTGAAAACAGTCCCGGCCCCGTCCCGACTGAAGGAGCCAGGCAAGAGCTCGCATCGGGCCAGTACAGGCGGCTGCACTCCCGTCAACCAGACTGACAGAGAGAAAGAGAAGGCCAAAGCCAAGGCCGTGGCGTCTGATTCTGAGTGTGGCGGAGGGGGATCGCTGAAAAACGGCACACTGACACCCACTCAATGTGCGCCGGAGCCTCCATCCAAACTGCTGGGGCTACGACAACCCTCTAGTTTGGGGAAATACTCAGAGCTGCCCTCTCCAAACTCTCACAGGTCAGAAAATTAAGTTATTTTTAGTTATATTTTGCTAATTTGAATAATATATGTTACATTCTGAGAGCGTAACGACAAGAGCTGAATGATAAATGATATGCGATTGTCATGCGCCCAGACAAATCTGACTTTCCATCGCATGCACGCTTGTCTCAAAGGGCCTGCAGGTAAACATATAGAGGTTTATTGTAAACCTTTTATCGATCATTTTTTCGCAGTTAATAGAAAAAAACGTGGTGACTCAGTGGTTAGCATTGCCACCTCACAGCAAGTAGGTCACAGGTTCTAGTCCCGGCTGGGTCAGTTGTCGTTTCTGTGTGGAGTTTGCATGTTTATGGAGTCAATATAGGGCCACATATACCTGCAAAGTAAAAGAAAGTTTTGCAAACAAAAAATAAAGTACTGAGCAAAAAAAAAAGAAAAGTGAAATTAATTTATAAACTTCGAGAGATTTCGAGAGGATCACGTGCTTGTGATTGTTCTTAGCTGTTCCAACATCAGTACATGATCGATTATCCAATCGGATGATTCCTAACTCACTATAACTAACCAGAGTTTTCTTGTATCACTATCTTCGTCTTGAAGAAAAGAAAAGTGAAATTAATTTATAAACTTCGAGAGATTTCGAGAGGATCGTGTGCTTATGATTGTTCTTAGCTGTTCCAGCATCAGTGCATGATCGATTATCCAATCGGATGATTCCTAACTCACTATAACTAACCAGAGTTTTTTGTCTCACTATCTTCGTCTCGAAGAACCCCCAAACCCTAACTTTCCCTAATTTTCAAACAGGGGACACGGCGCCCCAGTAATTAGCATTAATGCCTCACACCAGAATGCTCGCGTGGGTTTTCTCTGGGTTCTCCGGTTTCCTCCCACAGTCCAAATCATGCACCCTAAGTAAATTGAACACACAAAATGTATACCATAGTCAAGCTCTCAGCGAGTACTCCTCTCCTCAGTCATCCATATCCGTCACGCTACAATAAGCCGGGGGGAGATCTACCTGAGCTCAAACTCCCCTCTCGTCCTGCAAACGGGAGGGAGCCCAGGGCTCGAGGATCTCAGATGCTCAGGGCTCTCTTCCGGGACAGCACGCCAAACAAGCTCTTGACATAAATAAATGTGAACTTCCAAAAATCACAAAGCAAACATTAAGTTTTGAGAAATAATAAGAAGATTTTCAAACAAAAATAAAGAACTGCAAAGGGAAAATTAAGTTTTGAGAAAGAAAAATGAAATTTGTAAATGAAAAAAAGAACTGCAAATAAAAATGAAGCTGTGCAAAAAAATATTTGCAACAAAAAAAAAAAAAAAAACTATATATATTTGCAAAACATTTTTTTTATAGCATTGCTTTTACAAATCCAATTGATACAACGGAACTTTGTTTACGGCAGGCCCATACCTACTGGGCTATAAGACCACCTCGGTGATACTGTGTCTCCAGATGATGACGTCACTTAAATGGAGGCAGGTCCAGGCCTACCATAAACGCAGAAGTTCGCTTGACTCCGCCCCCTTGTCAAATCAGGGCCACAAAGTGAAATACGCAGAAACTTGAAGTGCAAAGTGACAAAAGCATCGCAATCTGACGACAAATCAAAGTGAGCATTGCAATTGACTAGACAGGTTTTGTAAAGGCAATGCTATAAAATGTTTTGCAAATTTATATAGTTTTTTTTAGTCACAAATATTTTAGTTTTTTTGCACTGCTTGATTTTTATTTGCAGTTCTTTTTTTTGTTGTTGTTGTTTACAAATTTCATTTTAATTTTTCAAAACTTGCTTTTCCTATTGCAGTTCTTTATTTTTGTTAGCAAATTCTTTTTTTATATCTCAAAAATTATTTGTTGCTTTGCAACATTTGGAAATTTGGAAATGCATTTATTTATTTATTTATTTATTTATTTATTTATTTATTTATTTATTTATTTTATTATTATTTTTTTTGCTCAGTACTTTATTTTTTAATTGCAAAACTTTCTTTTATTTTGCAAGTATATGTGGCCCTAGATTGACTCTACACGTTCTCCCCGTGTTCACCCGGGTATGGTATAGGTAAATTGAATAAGCTAAATTAGCCATAGTGTATGTGTGTCAATGCCAGAGTGTGTATGGGTGTTTTCTAGTCCTGGATTGCAGCTGGAAGGGCATCCACTGCATAAAACATATGCTGGATAAGTTGGCGGTTAATAAAGGAATAAAGGGACTAAGCTGAAGGAAAATGAATAAATGATAGCAATTATTGTTTGATTGACAAGCTGCATTATATTATATTATATTATATTATATTATATTATATTATATTATATTATATTATATTATATTATATTATATTATATTATATTATATTATATTATATTATGTTATTTTATATTATATTATATTATATTAAATTATATTATATTGTATTGTATTATATTATATTATATTATATTATATTATATTATATTATATTAAAGTATATTATATTATATTATATTATGTTATGTTATATTATATTATATTAAATTATATTGTATTGTATTGTATTATATTATATTATATTATATTATATTATATTATATTATATTATATTATATTATATTATATTATGTTATATTATATTATATTAAATTATATTGTATTGTATTGTATTATATTATATTATATTATATTAAATTATATTATATTATATTATATTATATTATATTATATTATATTATATTATATTATATTATATTATATTATATTATATTATATTATATTATATTATAGTAACACAAGAAGTAATATACACTAACCGATACATGTTATATCTGCATCATGTCATCCACAGGCCCTCCAGTGCTCGATCTCTCTCCAAGCCTCCTCTCCTAGAAAAGATCTCCTCTACCAGCCTGGAATGTGAGACCACCAGTCCAGAGGACCATCTTCCTCCAAAAGTGCCGCCGTACTCCAAAGTGCCGGACCTCTCAGGACAACTGATCTCCAGCTCTCTGAGTCCCACCCCGGCTCCAGTCCTCAGCATCAGCTCTTCTCAGTGTTTCTCCAGCTCCAGCGGCTCACCCTCGCTGTACCCACGCCTCTCTGGCCTGACCCGCAGCATGGAGTCTCTGTCTCTGCAGATGAGTGTGTGTCCTCCAGGGGGTGGGACGGTGGACAGAGGGGTGTCCGGTGGCTGGACCAACGGCAGGGCATCACTCTCACTCACAACTGACAGGTTAGAGACTGCAGCAGGCTTCGATTTTCTCTATATGCAGTGCCTATGAAAGTCTTCATAGCCCTTTACCTTTTCCACATTTATTTATGTTACAGCCTTATTCCGAAATGGATTTAATTCATTTATTTCCTTAAAATTCTACACACAATACCCCATAATTACAATGTAAAAAAAAAAAAAAGATTTTTTGAAATTGTTGCAAATTTCTTAAAAATACAAAACCTAAAAAATAACATGTATATTAACAGCCTTAGCCGTGAAGCTCGAAATTGAGTTCAGGTACATTTTGGTTCCACTGATCATTCTTGAGATGTTTCAGCAGCTTAATTGGAGATCACCTGTGGGAAATTCAGTTGATTGGACCTAATTTGAAAAGGCATACACCTGTCTATATAAGGTGCCAGGCTAGACAGTTCATGTCAAAGCACAAACCAAGCATGAAGACAAAGGAATTGTCTGTAGTACTCTTACAGAAAAAATTCTGCTGTTCTAATAGTTCCAATGAGCACCGTGGCCTCCATCATCCAAAAGTGGAAGATGTTTGGAACCACCAGGTGGAGCTGGCCGGCCATCTATGCTGAGTGATCAAGGGAGAAGGGCCTTAGTCGGAAAGGTGATCAATAACCTGATGGTCACTCTGTCTGAGCTGTGGGTTTCTGTGGGTTCTCAGTTGAATTGGGTAGGCTAAATTGTCTGTAGTGTGTGTTTGTGTTAGTGTGTGTGTGTGTGGATGTTTCCCAGAGATGGGTTGCAGCTGGAAGGGCATCCGCTGTGTAAAAACATGCTGGATAAGTTTAAAATTAATAATATAATATAATATAATATAATATAATATAATATAATATAATATAATATAATATAATAAAAATATAATATAATATAATGTAATGTAAAATAATATAATATAATATAATATAATATAATATAATATAATATAATACTATAAAAATATAACATAATGTAAAATATTATAATATAATATGATATAATATAATAAAATATAATGTAATGTAAAATAATATAATATAATATAATGTAATATAATAGAAATATAATATAATGTAAAATAATATAATATAATAAAAATATAATATAATATAATAAAAATATAATATAATATAATGTAATATAATACAATATAATATCATTTAATATAATATAATATAATATAATGTAATATAATATAATATAATATATTATAATAAAATATAATATAATATAGTACAATAAAATGTAAATAATATAATATATGATATAA